TATTATTATTATTATTATTATTATTATTATTATTATTATGCACTGAACTTTACAAAGGTACTTTATATGAGGCCAATATTATTCAGTTTGTGTGCATGAGTTGGGGAACGCCAGTATTTTTTCTCTCCTCCAAGAAAACCCAAGCTTAGGCTGAGAATGTGGGAGAGACGCAAAGCCACCCAGTGAAAGCCATGGCTCAGAGGACCCTAGAACCTGAGTTTCCAGTCTGAGTCCCACTGCAACCACTCCAGAGCCTTAACTGAGGGCCGTCTGCCCTTCGCACCTCCATGCTTAGGTGACATTAGGATGCAAGAAGAATTCTGTTAGATCAGACCATCGAATGTAGGATAGGTAGCTATGCAGCAGCTCTCTAGATGTTGTTGGACTCCAGATCCCATGTAGCCCAGCTTGCTGAGACAGTGATTAGGAGTGAGGACAAGGGTTTGCATCCCCTGAGCTAAGCCAACCTCCTGCTTCTAGGCTAGACCAGCCGTAAGTCTCCAGAGAGTTCCTGGGCATAGCTTGAGAGCTCACCCCTGAAACCTTTTTCCTGAACATCATGAGTTATACAGCACCTGCGTATTGAGGTTTCATGATTTTAGGAGACTTAGGTTTCAAGTATTTTAGAGGAACCATTACTATATCATCATCATATTTTTTCAGCTCCAAATTGGCCATTTTTATCTATGCTTCATTTGTCTATTTGCTTCTGTAATAAATGGGCTATTTCCCTCCTGTTACATCGTGCTGGTCTAGGATTATATACAATAAAATGAATTGGAGCTATCGTTATCATTATTAGATTATGCATCTCACCAATGAAATATAGACACACTACATCGAGCAACCATTTCGAAACCCCATTTGCAGGCAAGAATCACTCCCCCAGCCTCCACGGTCCCAAGAGACGTACCTATTTTGGCCAAAGAAGCCAACATGATCCACAGGGTGATCTCAAAGGGCACCTGGACATGCTGGTAGTCCAGGGAGAAGAAGACCGGGTGGGCTTTGGACTCATTTGCCTGGCCTGCCTCCAAATGCATCTCCTCAGGAGGCTCCAAGATCACAGAACCCTGGAGGGCAGTCGCTCCTGGAAGACAGAAAAGAAGGGTGGCAGGGGGCCACAGCAGCCAGGGGCCTGGCACAGCCTCCCGTCCTTGGATCAGCCTCTCCATTCCCCTGTTGGAGGTGTCTCTGTTTGGGAACGTGCCGGCAGGCAGGCAGGCTGGCTGGCTGCTGCCCTGTTTTTTCCGTGGCTTCTGTTTGAGTGGACTTTTGGAGCCAGCTCTGGCTAAATGTACCCTGCAGCCTGATCTATATTACATGGATGAGTGTCAGAGGGAAAAGCCACTGTTCTGTGTGTGTGTGCTGGGGGGGGGGGGGAGGAGAACACAGCAATCCCTTCCCCCATGTGGCTTGAAAACGATGCATTCTTGACATCGCTGAAGCAACCCGTGTAAATCGTGTCAATCTGTCACTTCTCAAAGGAGCCATTTCTGCCAAGGATCTCTCCAGTTCTTCTGAATGGCAAAGACTTTGAGTGTTCTTTTATGGAAAAATCCTATCCCCATGCTGGCTGGAGACTGCTGGGAGCTCCAGGACTTTCTGTCTAAACATACAAGGCATGATAGTTTCAAAACCCAGGAAGTGAAGAGCAGTGTAGTAGATACAGTGCTCACATGCTAACTGCAATGAGAAAGGAATCCAGATCATGGATTCCTCCTCCAAGGTCAGAGTTCTAACTCCAGCCTCAGATCTGGGAATCTGCAGTATCCCATGGACCCTCAAATGATGTCTAGGGACCATAAAGTTGCTCCCTCTGCTGCTGAAAGACTCTTTGCTGTTTACGGATTTCACTAAGCAGTAGGCAAACTTCAGAGTTGGCTCAAACACGAGGCACTAGCTGTGGGTGCAAAAGCCCACCCACTCTGTGGCCATTCCCTCTGCGGAGTCAGTAATGTTACGTCGGAGTGTTGTTCCATCGGGCACAGCTAATTAAAGCACATGGGCCCCAGGGTACAGCTGCACAAAAATCAATGCTCACTTTTGCTCCACCTCCCGAAATGACAGCAGACCTGAACCAAGGGCAAGCGATTCCTTTCCCCTCTAACTCATATCAGGAGGACAACTCAACATGTCTGGACAGGAGCCCTTTCCTGGTCTTTTTTGGCGCACAGGAGATGAGCAGTCAGGATCCTTTCCTGGGCAATAGTACAGCTGATAGGAGAACAAATAACCTTTCCAAAAATCTTTTTTTTTTTAAATACAGCTAATCTCTAAAGATATTTAATGGGCATTGATGCTTAGAATGCCTCTTCTTGAACAAGTGCTAACAGCTGATGGCTTCGACCAATTGAACACACACTAAGGCCGCAAGGCTACCTCCACTGTCCTGCGCGTGTGTCCCACTGAACACAATGGGACTGACATATGAGTAGACCCTCCCTATGACTGTGTGGTGAGTGTTGCTATCAAGTACGGTCTTTGGCCATCAGTTTAAGGAGACGGTCCGCCCCTTGTTCCCAGATGCATCCTGATGAAGGCACATGAAGGAGAACAGCAGACAGTATGACCCGTGCTCAGGAAAGGCGGCAGGTGTAGTCCAAGGTATGTGAAGTACATCAGGTTGGGCAAGGCTGAAGCAGAGCTGTCCTGTTCTACCACTTCAATCCCCCATTTGCTTCAGAGGAAGACTGGGGGCAGATCAAACATCATCCAGTGGCGCCACCTGCTTTTCCAGGATCTTCCAGAGAAGATGGCAGGGCTTTACCCGCCTCCTCAGACATAGTGGGCACCCTCTGATACAGTCAGTGCTCATTATAAGCACTGGTGACTGAGTCTTCTGTTCCTTTCCCCTCCTCTTCTTCTGTTACTCTTGTGATGTGTCTTTTTGGATTGTAAGCCTGAGAGCTGGGACTGCTTTGCATTTATGGATCTGTAAATTGGACACAACTTCGCAACCAGCAACAACAACCACAAAACCACTCTAGGAGCTGTTCTGGCTGAAGAGCCGAGTATAGATACATTACGGGAACACACAGACTTTGGAATAAAAATATACAATTGCTGGGCTGATAGAGAAATAAAGTGGAAAAAATAGATCTCCTCAATGAATGCACTTTCTTTCAGGCTATGCTAAACAAAGAAAAAAGTCCATTGCTTTTAATATGATGGAAAGCTGGATAAAATGCTCTGTGACCATGTGATCTTTTCCAACCAGATCCATAGACCTTTGATCAATGAAATGCATTAAAAGAAACAGAACGAGGAGCTGTAAAAGGAAAGTGTCTGAACACGGATTGTCACTTTTCGAAGCATTTCGATCCAGGTAGTTTAGTTGCTGGAATACCCTGGACCAACAGAAAGGGAAACAAGTGGATCCCAGATCAGATCAAGCCAGAGTTTTCCCTAGAAGCAAAAATGACCAAACTGAGGCTGCCCAACTTCGGACACATCGCAAGAAGGCACAGCTCCCTGGAAAAGGCAATTGAGTTAGAGAAAGTCAAAGGCAGAAGATAAAAGGGAGGGCCAAATATGAGATGGAGTGACTCTGTAAAGAAAGCCACAGCCTTGAACTTAGGAGAGCTGAATTAGTCTGGGTTTTGTGTTGCCTGACTTCAGTCCCTCCTGTAAGAACCTATTGCTCTTTATCCCTCCTCCTCCTCCTCCTCCTCCTCCTGCTGCTGCTGCTGTTGTTAACCAGTTCCCGCTGCTGTATCTACTAGCAGCCATGACAAGGGGCAGCCAAGGAAGAAGATCTGAGGTAGTCTGAAGCACTGGGACCCTGAAGACCTTCACCCTGAGACACTTTGTTGCAGGCTCCCACTAGTAAGAATGCACATTTTGGATTAAAGAACATGCCATGTTTTATTATCTTCTTGTTTATTGCAGTACTTAAGTTGCAGGGATTTATGGACTTCACCTTTATGAATGTTGTACTGTGTTAACCAATTGTTATTTTCTCCCCTTAGGTATCAAATGAAATTTTTAATTGATAGTCGGTGGTGACATTTTTATTGTGAGATCATTTTTCAAATAGTTTGGCTTGTCATTTTTGGATATTGTTTTTCGCTAGCCACTTCCAGCAAACTTTTGGACAGAAATGCGGGGAAGCGGCATTGGAAAGGGAGATCTCCTCTAGGCTGGTGCCCGCTGCCCTCTTGTGTTCCACAACTGCAGTTGCTGAGTTCATAAAGCAAGCCATGCAAGCTAACCTTATGGCCAACATGGTAAGACTCTGTGCAAAATCAGTTCAGCTTCTGAACCCCTTTGTTTGGAAGATGTCATCTTTTTGAAGGACAGCTGATCGCGCAAGGTACGTAGGCATCCTCGTCACTCTCATTCATACTATGGTATTTCAGTTTGAATGGATGAAGGGACACCACCTCCTCTCCCCAAAAAAACCCAGAAATTATCTTCTGAAGAGAGAGCCAGGTGGCAAATGCTGGGAAGCTTCAGAATTTAGGAGCATCCGGGGCCAGGCACCATGTTGTGCATTTTTTGCACTTTGGATCATCCGGATTGGGGCCAGTGAGGGAAGGGGAACTAATACGTATTTTGCTTTTTAAAACCATACTTTTATTTTATTGCATTTAAATTTTAATTTGATTTCATAAGTCCCTATACTACTTCTTTTTGTTACCTTAAACAACCAGCTAGATAGAGTACAATCCGATCTTAGTGACTAAAAATATTGACATACGTTGAACTCTTCTAATACCTATGCTAGAACTCTACAGCGAATAAAAGATTTATCTTGGTTAAAAACATAGCAAAGAGTTTCTTGCCACTGTGGATTTGCTTATTGGGCGCACAGTCCAAGTCCAGCCATTTTGTCCAGGTTAGAAAGTGCCCAGAGAGAGAAGTGTTTGCATTTTAAAAGGCAGAAGAGATCCGTGATGTAGAGATGTCAGCAACAAAGGATGAAATGGGGAGTGGAAAGCGGAAGTCTCGGTTTGTTCCTGTTCCCCTTTCCTTTCAACCAGAGAAGTAATGTCACAAGATCTTAAGTAATCCCAGAGTTTCAGAAGTATCAGTTGGAACATGTGGTTCAGAGGAAATCCTTCGAATTGTTCACGCCTTCTTGCCACCCTGCACACTGCAGCCACTGCTTTCTTTTGTGCATTTCCATAACACAAATGCAGCCAAACCGGGCCACGTCGTGTGCCCCAAGGCAGCCTAGGAGGGCTGTGCTGGGACCAGCAGGGCGACCAGCAGTGCTGTGGCTGTCCAGGCCAGGGGAGCAAGCAGGTTGGAGGACAGGGAGCAGATCCGGGGATTCCTTCCTTATGTGGGGCCTTAGCAAGTGCCTGTCCTTGGCTACCTTTGCTGCTGGCCCTGGGAATGTCTGCCCCCAATCCAGATGCGTTCATTTGTCGCAGCTACAAGCAAACAAACAAAATGCTTGATGTCTGTAGCTAGAAGGCAGGGCTCTGAAATCTAAATATTCCACTGGATAGAAGCTCACCATCATCATTTTAATAATCTGCTGCTCCTTGTGTAATGGCAGTGTAAACTGCCATTGCAGTTTTAAACAAGTTTAATGCTTGTAGTAGGTTGTTTTCTGGATAGATGATTAGGAAAGAGTTAAGCAGATCAAAGCTCCATCTTGTTCCCAATATTCGGATTCACGGTGGCTTCATTTCTGAGTCTAGGAGGTCAGAATTGTCTACCTATCCCATCTTTTTTGTTGTTGTTGTTGCAGAGGTACCTGAGAGGTATTGGCTGAATAGGGGTTTAACTCAGGTTCTTCAAAGGCTGGTCCAAAATTCTAACCCAGTGTTCCCCAGCCAATATTTCTCCAGATCTGTCATAACCCCTTATCATTGACCATAGTGGATGGGACTGGTGGGAATCGGAGTCCAAAACTTCTCAAGCGCACCACATTGAGGGAAACTGTTGTAACCATTACACTAATCTAAAACTCCATACAGCTCCTAAAATACTCTAAATAGCTCCTCAGTCAAGCAGAACTAAGACCTGGCCTATACATGTATCGGTAGACAAATGTGAAAAAACAAGCTCATCTCTCCATTAATAAAAATCTAGGCTAGTAGAAATCTAGCCTAGAATATTCCTCCCTGACATATTAGCTTCCTATACACAAAGAGTTTGTAAGGGAGAATTCAAGAATGTGATTCCCTTTCTAAAGTCTGGTCCCATCCATTCTTCTGCTTCAACCTTCTGCCCCTTCGTACTCGCTTCCTTCTGCTACAAGTCAAACCTTTTGTCCACGTACGGATGGAAGCGTCTTAAAACATCCAAGCAAGCTCTACCAACTCAGACTTCAGTGGGATGGGCAGCATGTCGGAGCACCTGATGCGTATTTTGAAATCGTCTCCCACCTTGCAGTGCTGTTTTTTAAAATAAATGCTCCTGGCTAACACATTAGATCGGTATCAGAGAAAAGTGCCAAAAACTATATCAGTTTGTATGTAAAACATGTTGCTATTTTTGCCGACACGCTCTTTTACATTCAACCTGAAACATTTAAATAGTGAAAGAAAAGTTAACTTTGTGGTCTTTCACTTTTATGATACTGTAAGCTTAGCTGAAAATGTTCCTTAAAGCAGAAAATGTTAGGTTTCAGGATAAGACTGTCAAGTCTTCCCATTTTTAAGGGTTTCTATTTGGAGCTCTCTTCACATCTTTATCTCTGCAAATACTTGCATATTTCTGTTAATATTTGTCATTGTATATCTACAAATTACTTAATTAAAATAAACAGGACGTCCTGAAGAAACACCCTTCATGGTTTAACTGGGAGTCCTGCACTGAGCAGGGGTTGGACCTGATGGCCTTCTGGCCCCTTCCAACTCTACTCTTCTATGATAGGATGAGCCGATGATCCTGGCTCCATTCAGTTCTTGTAGTGTTCTTCCCATGGGGTGTTCTTGTGTAAAGAAGCATTAACGAGGATTGCTGTTCTCCCTATACTTCAAATGCTGCCGGAGGGAGGTTCCTATTGCTAACAATCCAAAGGTATTGCTTCCCATTCTGTCTCGATCTTCTTTACTTTCCTTTTCCTTTTCTTGTAAGAAAAAGACAAGGGGTTCTAGGGGAAAACCTGGGAAGGATACAAACTGAAGGCGAGTATATCTGATTCTGTGACTGAAGCATAACTGCTCCAGAGCAAAAGCCTCATTATTCTGCAAACTCTCAGGTTTCCCAATGGCAACCCACCCAGCGTATGAGCGGAAATGTTTCCCAGGGCAAGAACAATCATCCCGTTTGGTGACTCTTTTAAAACTTCTTAAGGAAGATTTCTTTATTTACCAAAGTGTGGGCTCATGACTGATTGGTCTGAGCTTTCAAGCTTAGATTTAGTGCTGTATTTTAACTGTTTTAGTGTGACTGTATGATTTTAGGGTTGCTTTATAGACATTTATTTTATTAATAGTGTGTTTATTTTGGAGGGAAGGAACCATTAAGGGCACCATGCTTTGTGTGATTAGGCAGAAAAAAACTCCCATAGTTCTGAGCATTACCCAGCCTGCATGTTGAAATGCGCAGAGAATTACACCTTTCATCTATAAGTCTGTGAAAAGATGCTGAAGGAGGCTCTAGGTGGTTTTGCTGATTAGTCAGTTAATTTTTTTGACCGTGAGAAGCTAAAAAAAGAAGAACCCAAACCCAACACTTCCCATTAATTTTCCTTTCATTTAGCAGAAAGTTCATTTAATGGAAATGTGGAATGCTATTTTTCAAGTTACTGATGATTGTTCCCTGCATTCATCCTTCCTCATTATGTACTCGTTTCTCCTTCTGAAAAGCTTTCCCCTTTCCTAGTGCAACATGAATCAGGTATATGCTTTCCTCGCTTACATCAAGCCAGTGAGCAGACATGACCACGGGGATACAGCATCAGACCCTTGAGACCTCCTTCCTCATCCTTGACTCAAGAACAGCACAATCTTTTGCATACTTGCTCATCCGGAAGTCCCACCACATTCACCGGGGGGGGGGGGGCCTCCCCTGATCTGAGTATAGCCTAACAGAAAACAGTAAATTCATTTGTTAAGCTCCGGCCCTAGTGCATTGGTTTATTATGTGATTGATTCTTCAAATGGTTTTTAATTTGCTTTTAAAACGTACATTGAATTTCATGCTTTGTACTGCATTTGGACTCTGTTGCTTTTACAGGATTTTTGTTAATATATGGAGTTAAGAACAATGGATTTACAAGGGATGTAAGCAGCATTGTGCTTTTTGCAACTGTTACAGCTTTATGGCAGAGCACGACCATACAAATTCACTACCGAGTCCATGCGACTTTCCAGCACTTAGATTCAGTTAATAGCAGGATTGGCTTGGAATGGAGCGAACGTTCATTTGGTCAAATCACTGTTAATATATAGGTTTCCAAAGAAGACAGAAATTAGTGTTGTGCTGTGATTTGCCCTGGATTTTCCACACAGTTAAATACTGGAGTATCTTAGCTTGTCCTGCTCTTCCTACAACACAAGCATGGCTTATCTTAGATCGCTTGCTTAGTTCCCAGAAGACCAAATTCTAATTGCAGACGAGCTCTTCCAACCAAAAATCATGCAAGTTCAAAGGGTGATAAGCTGAGACAGAAGGATTTTCCCAAAGCCACGTTCCCATGCCTGCTATGGAGAAACAATCCAGAAAGGAGCCATGAGTGTTTGGCAAAACCCCATTTTCTGATGTAACAGATCACATTCGCAAAAGTATTTGGAACAGCAAATCAGCGGAGTCAACATGAAGTTTTTCATCTTCATCCAGACGATGGGACTTAGTTCTGCAGTCATTCACACCAGACACGGGTTTATGTGAATGAGTTTCCCTACGCTTTAACCACTCCTTTGCGGTATATTCCCCACTGAAATCCTAACTGAAATGAACATATTTGTTGTCTTTACCCTTAACTTCATCTTCTTCCCTTTGTTGCCATCCCAGTGTTGAATTTTAGACAGTGTGTACCTTGATGCAGGTCCTGTCTTCTTAAATCTGGGAAATCACCATGCATTTTGCTAAAGTAATAATAAAAATGAGAATAAGAGACAGCACGAAAACCCAAACAATGAGTATTAGAAGCCTGATTCAAATCCTTGTGCTTATTCACTCCAATTACTTAGACATTTCAATTGAACAACAGTACATGAAAGAGCTCAGATGCTTAATATTATTGCAGTTTTGTAGCAACTTATAATCAACAATTGATAAGCTATGCAGAGATAACTGCTTGAAAAATACTAGTAGTGTCTAACTTTGGTATGAGCATTACAAAGTAATCTTGCTTGGCCAGTCGAAAATTCACAGCCAGATGCAAGACAGTCCATGCTAGTCTATCCTCCAAGAACTGAACAGCATATTAAAGGCGGCTGCATCTATCATTAATTAATGATAGATTAATCATTAATTTAAGTTTAAGTTTAAAAGCTTAAACTTTTGTTTAAATCAAAAGGTCTTTTTAAGGAACCTATTTATTTCCATCATGATGCATGCTGCACTCCGGAAGGTTTCTGTTTGCCAAGCGGGGCTGAGATTTGTAAATTTGGAGTGCTAAATTCACTGCTGTTTCCACTGCTCGTGTTTTGCAAACCAAAAAAAGCTAGGGATTGTAAGAGCGTTTGCGTGGCTTTCAATCTGTCGGTGCAACATTCCTGGGGCAGCGTATGGCTGCTTTCGGCTGTGTTATTCATCAGCAAATTTGAGGTCAGGAGTTGAGTGATAGAACCACACTGAGTCAGTTTCTCTTCCAAAAATTGCTTATACAGTTCCTGGACCTTGGTTTCCATGTAGCTGTTGATCAGAGAGTTTGAAATGGGCTGTTTGTGAAACATTATGCTTCTCTCACCGGCCTCGTCATGCCAGATTTTGGGGTCCTTGGAGTTCTGCAGGGGCTCAGTGGTAGGGGAATGCCCTAGCCGGATATCTCTTGACAAGAAAACAGGGCCAGCAGGTAGATCGTCATAAGTCTGGTCCATGATGCAATCCAAATCACACGTATGGTCAGCTATGTGATCGCCTCCAATATGGAGATCGGGATAGTTCTGATAAAGGCTTTGGCTTGACCAAGATCTGTACAGATCCAGTTCTTCACAGTATTGCTCTCTTCTCACAATAGGCAGTGGTTGTGTGAGAGAGTTTTCATTGCATTTTTTCATGGGTGCCTTTGGTACAGAATTCTGCTGGTAAATTTCTTGATCTGGTCCCATGTCCCATGTCCTCTTCTCAGCAGCGTGTTTCTTGGATTCTGTATGGAAGTCTTGACATTTGTCTGTGTCTGTCAACTGATCTTGCCAGGATTCTCCTCCAACCACTTTTAATACTTGGCTTTGGTGGGGTTTGTAGTGTTCGTATCTGTAGGCAAGCCCAGTGAGAACACTTTCTGCCAGCATCTTGGTTTGAAATAGAGGTGGTTTAGGTGGCCAAATATAGAATATTTCTGCAAAAGCATTAATGCAAAGAAGTCATTTGGGCAAGGCAACTCAAAGAAAAGAATACTTTATCTCCAGTTCTTCACTAAGAACTTCACTATCCTCTACATTTGCTTACCAGCAAAACTTTCTACACTCGCACTCTATACAGCAATACAATTACTTTTCTTTCTCTTTGATGATATCCCATGCCAAGAAACTTATAACTCCTTTCATTTGGAAGGGCACTGGAAAAGACAATTCTGTCCCTTACTTTCTGCCTAGGACAGTGGTGGCAAACCTATGGCATGCGTGCCGCAGCGGGCACACAGAGCCCTCTCTATTGGCACACGAGCCAAGTCACCCCAGCAGCTGAACATCAGATAGGGCCCATGCGCATGCTCAGAAAGGAGTCACGAGCCATGACTCATCAGTCACAACTCATCCAAACTTTTGCGTGGCTGGTCAGTGCACTGCCAAGGATATATATGGCGACAGTGACACACGCGCTGGTGACTTTCCGCCTTGACTTCTGTAACACGCTCTATGTGGGGCTACCCTTGAAGACAGTCCGGATACTTCAATTGGTTCAAAATAGAGCTGCCAGGCTGCTGACGGGGACTGGGC